TCCCATCCTATAAATCCTTTCCCAGAGATGTAACGAGTATCATTAATCTATCGCTATTTCCACGGAAAAAAGTTCTGACGAACTAGATTTCCTAGCACCGACAGTTCAGATCTTTACAGCTAAAAACCGTCATGCCACATGCCTGGAGGCGAACCATTCTCATTCCCTTTGTATTCCGTTGTTAAGAAGGAAATTCTGTTCGGAGACATTGCTTTTTGGAATAGACTCCCAAGAGGGTACTTGCTCGATTACAACAATCTTAACTTCTTCATTCAGTGTCAACCGTTATCTATCCTAAATATCCCCCTAATCCATAATTTTTACGTCCATACAACAAGCCTCTACCTTGAATGGCTCTGGGGCCTTTTATTGAGTGAATGATAGCGTAAAAGTTGTATGTATTTAACCTGTTCATATCTTATTATCATCCCGTATATGTCTATCGTATGCAATACACGAATGTATATTAAATAATTTTACAAGTTATTATATATATATGTGTGTGTGTGTGTGTGTGTGTGTGTGTGTGTGTGTGTGTGTGTGTATAAGTGGCCACTGAGGTCAACACCGAGAAGCGACAGTCTGTTTCATGCTTGAACATTATTTTCAGGCCGTCAAACAATCTTCATGTCTGAAGTTTGTTTTCAAGCATGAAACAAACTGTCATCGCTCGGTGTTGACCTCAGTATATATATATATATATGTGTGTGTGTGTGTGTGTGTGTGTGTGTGGAGAAAATGTATGACAAATTGGAAAAAGATTTATTGTGACACGTTTCGTTCTTTAGGACTTCATCGGACTACACATGCGCACGAACGAAAGATGCTGGGAATTTTTAACTTTTTAATTTTAATTTTTTTTAATCTCGCCGATTTTATTTAGATTTTTTTCTTTTTCTTTCAGTCATTTTTATTAGTAGATACCTCACATTGTGATAATAGAAAAGTGAAAGGTTGAAAGAGTCCCAGCGCAAGTTCCTGTGGATGACTTTGCAATCAAGGCACACAGAAGACATTTTCGCCGTAGGAAATAGTTTTTCTCCTTTGATTAGAGTAGCATTTTTATGTCAAAATTGTGGTCAGTCTCCTTACGGTGGAAAACCAACACATTTGATGTATTGTTTTGTAAAATGTCCCTTTTGTGTTCATATAAATATATATTTAGATTCCTTGAAATTTCTCCTATGTATTTTTCTAACAATTATTACAGTAAATTCCTCCTTCAGGTTTTAGTTTATTGTTTTGTTTAGTATTGACTAAGTCTTTTATATTTCATATGTGTGTGTGTTCATATCTATAACACTGCGTATGTTTCTATCTTATGCACTTATAGTTTTATGTACTTACATATATGTGAAACTACTTAAATGCCTAGAAAATTAATCAAGTGATGATGAATCCCAATAAAGCTTTTCAATCCGTAACTGGTTAAATTCTCTCATTTCAGTGCCATGAATTCCACTTTATCCTCCGTTACTGGGATGAAATTGTCAGATAGTTGGTCCACGCCGTCAACCTCCATTGGGGAAGAGGACAGCTGCTGGACAAAAGAACGTTGCCGTTACTGGATTGGAATCTTGATCGCTTACACTCTGTGCCTCGTCGTCTTCATCATCTGCAGTGTGATCAGCCGGAAATACTTTAAACTGTACGAACTGGAAGCCTCACGACAACACAACCCGATTGAAGTACGCGATGGAATGAAAACAAAGTGCAGTGTCCTGCCACCCATAAAAGTCGGGCCTTCAATACCCCCAAAGCCGATTGTGTCAAAATCGGATGTTGTCACAATTGCTTAACACTTTGTGAGTTAAGGGGGAGATAACCCACTCTCAAACGACGTCAACTCGCTATATCGCTTCAAATATAAAGAACCATCACTTTTTACGTGCTTCGTTTGTAAATTCAGCGCGCACGAGGGTTTAAATATAAATTTTTGTCAATCGTTTCACGTAAATTAGGATTATGCGAGCTGCTTAAGCATCATAATCCGGATCAAGAAAACATTCACTTAAAAACGATATACATTTTTAATACTAATGTTCATCCAATAGAAGGCCCCAAAACCATTCAAGGTAGAGTGCTACTGCGTGGTGTTGGATGAGCGTAAGAAAAGGCCAGAAGGAAAGTTCATGGGGTTATGCAGGAAAGATAACGGCTAAAAATAGACTTGAAGTGGTCAAGATTGTAGTGTTTAGGAAAACATCCTGCCGGGAGACGGTTCCACAAAGCAGCAGTTCTTGGGAGGAAGCTGTCCGAGTAGAATTTAGTCCTTACTAATGGAATACGAAGGGGATGAAGATGATTCATCCATGTGTACGTGGCAAGGCGGAACCCAGTTGCAAATGTCAGGGGTTGTGTAACCAAGGACAACACTAGCCATAAAAATAGCGATAGAATAGCGAGAGGCTCGCGAAATTTCGTCTGTGGGGAAAACGGTTGTAGGGTGGGAAATAATTCATCACCCACAAGACCGCGTAGACGCTTTTGAAATCTGTCAAGACAGGAAAATAAGGACTAAGCAGCTCCATCTCAAATATGGCAGCAATAATCCATTTTTTGGTCTGATCTGTCTCTTTTAAAGATAGAGCATGGTAGTTGGAGTCAGGTACTTACTGGAGGGGTACATCTTTCACATATTGCCATTTCAATTCTGTTTGCCTTTCACTTTTCAACATTGACAGAATTCAGAATCGTCTTCGTGGCCTTGTGGACGACGGATTATTTTCGGTTTTACAAAACCCTTTCCCACAAACGAAACGTCACAAGCCTTGCACTATTCTATCGCTATTTCCATGGCAAATGTTTCGACAAGCTATATTCCTTAATTCCACCAGTTTAGACCTTCTCAAGATTCACTATGCCATGTACACTGGAACAAATCCTCCTCATTCGCTTTGTATTCCGTTAGCAAGGAAGAAGTTTCATTTGGACAGCTTCTTCCCAATAACCGCTGCTTTGTGGAACAGACCCCCTGATCACTATAATCTTAATCTCTTTAAGTTGAGGATTAACCGTAATTTTTCCTACATATCTTCTTAAACTATACTTCTTACCTCCCCTTCTCATGTACAAAAACCTCGATCAATAAGCCTCTACCTTGAGTTGTTGATGAGCCTTGTTTTTGTCGAACAATTAGTAAAAACAACATCAGCCTTTTACCATCAAACCAAGAATTTATTTTTTTTTTTTCTGAGTGCACTTATGTTGGATGTTTTCAATTTATAAACAACGCAATATATCTTTGATGCACAGGCTATCCTCCAAAAATGGCATCATTTAAAATGTGAATATCTGAGTAACTACACGTCCCAGACAAACGAAATTAAATAAGCTTCATGTTGAACAATAAAAAAATTTATTTATCAAAATTAAAATAAGATAAGAAAAGGGATGTAGATTTTAGAACCGATTTCACATATATGCGCACCGCCTGTAACACGACAAATGTCGAATCGGTAGTCCAGGTCCTGCCAAACACGCAGTAACATGTCTTGCGTAACATTCTCCGGCACCTCAAAGAGAATCTACCAAGAAGATGGATCGAGTCTGCCAGTGACAATATTCTGTTGAACCACGTTCACGTTGTGTTTTTTTTTTTTTTTTCGTTTGTTTTTTGTCTATGGAGCTATGTGAAAGGACAGGTCTATATCCCCACCTCTTCCCACAAACCTAACGGAACTTCAGCAGAGAATCACTGAGAAGCTGGAGAATGTTACGCGAGACATGCTACAGCGTGTTACGCAGGAGCTGGACTGCTGTCGTGTCACAGGTGGTGCGTGTATTGAACATTTGTGAATCTTTGTGAAATCGGTTATAAAATCTAAATCACTTTGACAATCTTGTTCGAATTTTGAAAAATAAATATTTTATTTTTCAACATAAAGCGTATTTATTTTTGTTTTCCTGAGACATATAGTTACTAATATCTTTACATTTTAAATGATGTCAATATTTGGGAGGGGAATAGCCTGTATTTTTAATATCCTTCCTCGGTTTAATAATACTTTACTTGTGGACAAAATATTTCGATAATTTCAACTTTTCGTGAAATATTATCGAAATATTCTTTATCAACATTTAAGTGATTCTAATGAAGGCAAATCTTTTCCCTTATTTAAAGGACCAATTTTGATAATCTAATATTTTTACCGATGTATAAATCATTTTATATTTAATTGCTTTAATTTATGAATTTTGTATCCGAATTATTAATTTTACTTTGTAACATTCAGAGAGTCAAATATTTATATTCGGTTCTGTTGCCAAAAATTTATTGAAGAGCTGTTTTCCCATTTCAGCTGCGTCATATTCTAAACAAAATTAGAAACTAAGGTTAGAATAAATAATAGACGGTTACCATTAGATTGTAATTCTTTTTTTTAAATCTAATTTTTAACTTCTGATCCCTTCGGTTGATTGTTTTTTGTTTTTGTTTTTTTATTCGTTTTCTACGGATTATCAAGCCTTTGCAGGATATTTAAAACCAGAAAATATTTTGAGATTGTAAGAGTTTTTAGAGACAATAATGGTTTAGTAATACAAATCTTACTAATTAACCCATAGCTGGAGGGGAGAACAGGTAGATTCATACCTAATCAGAAACAAAGAAGAAATCATAGTGGATATAAAGTGGGGGATCAATTCTACATTACAATTAATATATAAAATAAGCCCTCATTTTGTGACCACGGTAGATCCTAAACATTTATATTCCAGAGAATGTAAATAAATCTAAAATGCATACCTGTATAGCTAATCAACGTTTCATTGATTGGTTCGTTTTCTACGACTTATCAACCCTTTGCAGGTTATTTAAAGCCAGAAAATATTTTTAGATTGTAAGAATTTTTTTAGAGATAATAATGGTTTAGTGATACAAGTCTTACTAATTAACCCATAGCCGGAAGGGAGAAGAGGTGAATTCATACCTTTCGTGAACTGGAACTCCGATTAAATATTCCGACTCGTTATCAATTACATCATCCGCACATCCAATCTTACAGTACTTGGTATTCCTAAGCGGTCACCCATCTCGGTACTGACCAGGCTCGATGTTGCTTAACTTCGATGATCGTACAGGAACAGGTGTTCCAACATGAAGTGGCAAGTCTTTCGGATTTCTTCCAAGCCATTCTCATATCCAATCATAATAGGATAACCAACACTGCAGTAGGTAAAAACTTTATTCGAGTTAAAAACTCTTTGTAATTTTTTTACAATAGTGTTCACTCCGTACAAGGCCCGAGAGCCACTCGAGGTAGATGGTTACAGAGTAAGAGGCACAGTTTAAAAGGATATGTAGGGAAGATAACGGTTAACCAAAATTTGAACAGGTTAAGAATGTTTTGATCGGGAAACTGCGTCTTGAAATGTCGGCTCCACAGAGCAGTGGTTCGCTGAGAGAAGATGTTCAAATGGAACTTTCTTCTCACTAATGGAATCCGAAGAGAATGAATGTGTTTCGCTACAATGTATGTAGCATGGCGGGTCATAACCGTAAAGGTTAGAAATGCTGGAAATAAGGAATGTAGTTCGTCTGTGCAAATTAATGTAAATAAGCAGGTTTTTTTTTTTATATATAAAAATTCTCGTTGTTTTTCTTCTTTCTGTTTTTACGTTTTGTGTGTTTTCTGTTTTTTCATTTGTTTGTTTGTTTTTATGTTTTACTTTTTTGTAAATTAATCTTTTAACTAATCACAATGACGTATGCTTTGGGGAATAACGCATGTCTTTGAAAATATACAAATCCTTTGTCCAAAAAGCTCAAAATAATTTTTAACAATGGCAGCGGAGGGGATGCAAATAATTAACAACGAATGCGCAGTTATTTCCCAAAATTAGATTTTGCAGCTCAAAAGAAGGTTTTGGAATAAAGGTAGCTATGATCATCCGTATATTCACCAACTTTGAATCTTTGATATTTGCTTCCATTACGTAGAATATTATAAAGTACTTTTCGTATCGCTAAATCTCATGTTCGTAGGCAGAGTGCTAACTCCGTACTTCATAAAAAATATTGATATGCAAATCGTATTCTTAAGCTATTCATAATTCCCAGAAATCAATTTTCCAAAGACGCGGAGCATTCTCTTCATCTATATAAATATTCAACCAATTTCATAACATTTTTTTTTATAAATCTAATATTAGTCATTTTAGAGTATCCTAGATTTTTTTTCTTTCTCTCATATAAAGATGTGAACAGGGGCACCTCGAGGTGGTGTAAAGGTTAACAAGCTTGTCTTGATAGAACAATTACGACTGAGTAGTATGTTTGATCCTCACTGGGTGCCCCATACTTTCGGCCTTGTTTCACATGTGAGCTACGCTTGGAAAATCACTATAAACATACGAAGCGTCTTCAGCCTATCTCTAAATACTTATTATTCGGATATTGGATCTTTTCTGTTAAGTCATTCTTAATAATGTAAATTTACTTATCGCAAATATTAATTAATCCCAAGAAATTTTAAATTTTAAATCAAAGTTTGTTTGTTTTTTATTGAATTTTGACACTCTTTTGAAATTAGGAATTTTAAATCAAAATTTGTTTACCTCACCACGCAACAACTCAAAACCTCAGAATGAAAAATTACCAAAAATCAGGGAGTTATGCCCTATTTCTTAAGTACGGATGATATTCGAGGTACTTGCAAGGAATTTTTTACAATTTAAAATAAAATAAAATAAAAAGTTTGTTTTTGGCTTGTTTATTGTGGTGAGATCGACGGAGTTGCCAAAATTTGGAGCGATGGCAAAGGTCAACCCAACCGGATTGCAATGGAAGGACATCGCTCTGGGAAAATTTGGTGTGAATTTTAAAAAATATAAATTCTTTTTATTTTGGGGTGAATTAACAGAAAAGATCCTGGATATTTACAAGTCATGGAATCAATGTATATATTTTCATTATATTAGCAAATGAATAAATATTCATTTAATAACATTGACGTCAGGAGAATGCCTTAAATATGAACACACGGGCAAGCGATTGAAGGAGGAACATGAAGACGACGACAATAGTACAGACGTTCTAATAGTTGAAGAATACTCACTTTTTCACAGCTTCAAATGATGATGATTGATACACTTTTAAGAAGATGACTAACATCATAATTAGAAACTACCTTCTTCGCTTCTCGGAAAATCAATTCCGTTATTTTGCAAGCCATCTGCGTGTCTCTGGAAATCAATTCAGATATTGTGAAAGTCATCTTCGTTTCTCTGGAAATCAATTCAGATATTGTGAAAGTCACCTTCGTTTCTCTGGAAATCAATTCAGATATTGTGAAAGTCACCTTCGTTTCTCTGGAAATCAATTCAGATATTGTAGAAGTCACCTTCGTGTCTCTGGAAATCAATTCAGATATTGTGTCAAGCATCTTCGTGTCTCCGTAAATATCAATTCAGCTATTGTATAAAGCATCTTCGTATCTCTGGAAATCAATTAAGATATCTTGCAAAACAACTTCGTATCTCTGTAAGAATTAATTCAGTTATCGTGTAAAGCGTCTTCTCGTCGTAATGATTCGTTGCCTTATCATTTTTCACTTTTCATACATGGTTTTCTTTCATTCGAATAGCTTGAGCCCCAGGGGTGGGGGCCATACCTATAAGCACCTCTACTCCAACCACCGACTAAGCAGTATCTCTGCTTCTGGACGAGGCTTGGGTCACTACCCGACGCCATTAGCAATTTTGGAACAGCTGCCCACTTTAAAGTCGACGTTATGTGAAATCCTGTGCGTGTGGATGCATGAATAAATCCCCTTCTTTCAGCCGATTAATTTTCTGACCATCATCCTGCGACAGAGTGAAAGGGGCCTCTTCTATTCCCGTTCATATTTTAGCCTCGCTCACTTAAATGAATTTTAACGTTTGTCCGCGTGAACAATCTTCAGTGTACGGTTGTAATTGTACAAGAATTGGAATCATGAAAAGTAACCACTGCACTAAATCAGCTTCTTTTTTCTTTTTTTCTTCTTTCTACACACCTTTATTAGTGCAGGGGACAAAAACTGTATGACTGTGTCCTTAGGACAGATTGATTCTTCATCTTTTTTTTTAGAAAATCAGCATTGCACTCACTGAGAATGCTGGGATTTGATGCGATAAGTACTGACACCAAAAAATTCATAGCTTTTATCAATTTTTGAGCATTTAGTTTTAACGATCATCTGAGAAAAATGTATGGAAATACATTATTTCCAAAGGTTTTTACTTACAAACTGACATCAAAATTTTGGTATTTTAAGAATAAATCCAAATAAAGTTGATATCTTTTGTATTAGATACAATGAATGGAAAATATATTCAAACCAGAATTCTTATTATGAATCATCACCACAGGCAAAATATGCAATTATTTACTGTATTCGATAAGTAAAAAAATTGTAAAATTTTAATATTGCTAGGTACAAATTAAAAGACAGAGCGTTTTTAATTTGCATTGTTTATTGGAAATCACACTAAAACGCCTGCATTGTATAACATATTACATTATAATATAGCTAAATTGTTCATCATAATTTCCCTTTGGAGTAAATGAAGGTCTTATTTGATGGCACAATGATTTAGTAATAATGTGCTTGTGTCATGCATCTTGTCCATATACAATTTGTAAAGCTTCAGTAAATTATAAATTTTATAAGGCTGTGCTATAAGGCTCTCACTGATCACCGGAATTAAATTCCAACGCGACGGTTTTGAACCTAAACTTAATCTTCAAACTCATTTTATCAAAAACTGGTAACGATTTGAAAAAAAAGAATTTTGTGTTATTATTGATCAAGTCAAACACCAACTTTTAAATTGAGCGCAATACTACGGTTTTAAATTAAGTGCAGTATTACGGTACCTGTCCTAATGTGTCATATATGGCAACATAAACGCACAAATACATCTGTCATCTCTTTTTCTTTTCATTTTTTTTCTTTTCATTTTTTTTCTTTTTTTGACTACCTAAAATCAAAATACGAAAGTATATAAACATTACTCTTTAATTCCCCAGGAAACTCTTATTCCTATGTCAATGACCCTAATACCACTTTTATGCCTTCACACTCTCCAATTTATCACCAAAACAGGTAATTCAGAACCAGGCTGTAGACATCCTAACACTTTTTCGACAATTCTTATGTATACGAAAGACAATTTAAAGAAAAAAATACCTGCCTTGTCGTGCTAAAAAATAATGTACACAAACTGAAAAGAATTTAAAGAGGTCATGAAGCAATAACCATTTGTCAAAACAAAATGTAAAATGTGTTTACAAACGAAACGAAAAATGAAATCTCTCTATGAATATGCTGTTTCATTCTGTTTTTAATATTTGCCTTTTTCTGAAATTGACATTCGCATTTTGAAAGTACTAAAGCGAATTTGCTTTGTGTTCTTTTGGTGGGGGGATATTTATTGAAAAAAGTATTTTATCCGTAAACGTAAGCACAAAATTGTTTTTAAAAAGTACAGTCGTCGATGAGTTTACAGGAAAAATTAAAATTTTTCGATATATTAAACAATTATTAATCGCCATATTCTAGCTTCTCTAATTGTTCAATTGAAACATTTTGTTTTAACTTTTGTCACTTAGTAAATTCAGTGTGGTAAAGTTTTTACTACTTTACATTACAGAGATTACGAGAAACTGAAAAAATATGGCTGAATTATTATAGTTTGTTGTTTCGCTATTTCTTCAGTATTTAACAAATATCAAAAAAGTAATAGCAATAATATTATTTTGTTTTTGTTTTTAATTAGATCATGATCTGTCAAACATTATAATTAATTTTCAATATTATCTATTTTCGGCTGAATTTTTACTTATTTTTTCATTATTTTTATAAAAGCATTGTCAATAGTTACAGTGTAACCCGGATATAAGAGACCCGGATATAAGAGAAACCCGGATATAAGAGAGATTTTCTCTGGTCCCAAATTAGAGCCTGTGTTAATGTATATAAAATAGACCAAAACCGGATATAAGAGAAACCCGGATATAAGAGACTTCTTCTCCGGTCCCGACAACTCTCTTATATCCGGGTTACACTGTATCTTGAATAGTGTCTATATTCTTTTTAATTTTTGCTTGTTTT